GGGCTGCCCCTGCCCACCCAAGAATATTTTGGTAAAGGACACCCAAAATGGATGTATTGCAAATAATCAGCAAGTGCTCCATTAAGGGGTCAAATGTTTTCAATAAGTCTAATGAGAATCTTTAATTGCTATTGTGATACAGGTTGGACATCTCTGGGGCAGGAGCTCCCTGGCTGCCACCAGGACCAGAACTGTGCTGCCAGCCCTCTGCTGCTGCCCAGTTGCTGGGACCAGATCTCCTCGCAGCAGACCCCCCAGCCATACTACTTCCCTATGGACAGACCTCCCTTTACCTGGGCTCTGTGGTCCAGGAATATCTGTGGTCCTGCCAGACCATGGATATTGCTGGACCAGAGAGTCCTGGTTAAGGGAGGTACAACATTGATTATTAGCAGGCATTTAATATGTAATGGATGCCGCACAGCAATTGCTGTTAATATGTCAGTTGATGTTCTATTAATATTAAATTAACACCTGTGATGCTCTGAACATCATCACATGAATCCTTATTAAAGTGTAATCAATAAGACTGGATGATCCATACAGCAGATAGGTGCATGTGTATACGTGAGATCATGCACCAAGATATGTAGCCTACTTTGATATATGTTCAGAGAGAACCAGCACTTGAAAATTCCGCTTGGTACATTGATTTTCTCTGACAGTTTTAGAGGAACAGGTATGCCAGAGAGAGCAGCTCAGATTCATTTAACTTACTCATCCAGTTTCTCTCTCTCTCTCTCTCTCTCTCTCTCTCTCTCTGTTTTGTTGGCACTGTCCATTACAAGGGAGCTCGCAAGGTTATTAGACCTTAACGAATGACCTGCCTTGACCACAGTGCTCTTCTGATGATCTAACATCTGGGTGTCAGCACGTCAGGATAGGCTATGATATACAAATTTTAATTTCCCTGGGGCAGCATTTCTCATGTCAGCTGGCAAGTTTGTTTTGTTCTTCCTTAACACATGGCTGGACCTATCTGTCTAGCTGTCCTTGCTTGGCTGAAGATCATTGTCTTCAGTGACAGGCAAAAACCACAGTGGATTCTGTGCTCACCTCTGCTCAGTCTTCTGTCACTAAGCTTGGGGTGTCTCCTTGTGGTGGAATGGCTGCTGTGTGCAAGTAAAGGGTACTAGGCATGTCATTCCAGCAATAGCAACTCTTGGCAAATAAAGCTAACCCCTGGGATAGTGCTGAACATTCTGGGGAGGGGGAGCGGGGAGAAGTTAAGAACCATTAGGGAAGGAAGATGGACCTCATGGTTCAAACTAATCCCTGGAGATCAAGAGACTTGGGTTTTGCTCTTGGCTTGGCTACTGCTCTGCAGGCCACTGCTGGCAAAGTCACCTATGTCCAGATTTTGGGTAGAGATCCCACAAAAAGACGTCAGTGCTGTGATGCTGAGTATCACAGCACTGAACCTCGAGGAACCTAGAAAATCACAGGGACAACACTGTGGCCCACAACACATCTATTACGCAAAGCCAACGTGCTAGGTGGGAAGCCATCTCAGCTAGCCAATGGGAGACATCAACTAGATGAGTTTGTCTATGGCTCCGTCCCTCTCAATAGATAGACACTTCTGTCGGGGCTACAGAAGCACCCATCTCTACCAATCCCTGAATCAGCTTCCTTCAGTCAGGTGACTCAGGTACCTCAACTGGTCCTTGCAGGAATGAGTTAGGTGCCTCCCTTGCTCCACACAAAGCAGCTGGTGCCAGTGCCTTCCTCCTAACTTGGATCTCAGTGGGTAGGACATACAGCTGAGATATGGGGGAACTGGGCTTAAGAGGGACCAGTCAGAGAAGGAGAGAGGATTTGCACAGGAGTCTCCTGCCTCTCAGGAGAGTGTTTTAGCCACTGAGCTTGGAGATGTTCAGATGTAGCATTCCA